TAAGAGTAATTTTCTAAGTATGATTATAATTAATTGAATGGAAATACTCAATCACACATGATGGGGATGTCATTAGCATTACTCGGCATGGTTGACTATTTTTCCCTGGCATAATTATTGTTTTTCTTTTATCCTGTTTAGAAATCTCTCCCCTTTTATTGAAATCACTCAAGGATGCAAATCGTACGTAGTGGCTTAATGATCTTCTAAGCAGATTTCCAGACCTCTGGAATAGCGAACTAAAATTCTGAGAGTCTAAATTAAATTTATCTGCTGTAGAAAGCAGTCTGGTTGAGCCAAGGTCTCCTGTGTGCCAACAGGTGTGGCACTTTTCGGAAGAGAGACTACCTGGCCTGTCGGGCTAAAAAAGGCAAGGAGGCACCCACTGCAGAGAGAAGACATTCGCCCACTGAAACCCAGCCGGCCACCCAAGAAGCCCATGAGCCCCGGCTCCCACAGTCAGCTGGCGGCAAGGACACCGCCACAGAAGTGCTTCCGGAATCACAGGGGTCAAGGGAACGTGACCCAGCTACCCACGTGTCCTCCTCTGCCCCGGTCAGCAGTGGCCTCTCACCCCAGGCTCTCTCCCCGTGGCCGTGGCCGACAGGGCGCTCTCAGTCCAGAGAGGCCAGTGTGGACTCTGAGCTGCCCTGGCTTCCAGGTTGACCCTGGAGGCCCCTGGAGAGGGTGTCTCGTCGTCTGCATTTTTATTTTGGGTCAACGAAAGAGCAGAGAGAAAAGACACAGGTTCTTGCATCTCTCCCTCCCTTTCTCTCTTTTCAGAAGAGTTTGTAAGACGTACACATCTGTGCATCCGGGATCTTCCGGAAGCATCCTCAGAGGTCATCCGGCCCAACCACCTTGTTCTACAGAGGAGGAAACAAGGCCCAGGGAGGGTAAGCGACTGGCCCAAGAGCACACAGTGAGTTCATGGTGGAAGCGGGCCCAGAACAGTCCACCTGACCATTGGCCGCACTGTTCTTGTACCTTACCCTTGGGGATGAGCCGCAGGAGGAGGCAGCCCTGCGCTCTGAGAGGAAACATGGCGGCTACGCGGGGCGACTGGCGCTCCCCAGAGGGAGCGCTCGGGACAGTTCCCCTGGGATGAAACCCAGCTGCAGACAAAGGCGCAGCAAGGTGGACGCTCAGGCTGCCGCAGGGGAAGCACGAGCCCGCCTGTGAACGCGGGCACGGACGCGCAGAGGGGCAGATGTGAGCGCCGAGAAGCCCGTGGAGGAGTGACTCCCGACCAGGGGTCAGGAATGGCTCAGAAGGGAGCGGTGCAGTGGAGAGAGGCTGAGGACGGCAGCAGAATGACAATGAGGGGGCCAGGCCAAGGCAGCTGGAGGGCAGCCCTGGGTCCTGCTGGTTGCACGGAGGTCACGACACAGGGCCCCTGCAGTAGCAGGCCGACCTGAAACGGAACCACTCGGGCTGAACACCGCACCGAGCAGCCAGCTGTGAGCGTGGTGCCCCAGCTGGCAGCGAAAGGCTAGCTTCACCACCTACTTGGGCAAATACCGTTCCTGAATGTCACAGTGAGACCCGCGCGTTAGCAGGGGTACAGAGGCTTCCTTCTGCCGAGGGCCGCTGCCTTGGCTGGGCCACGTGGTTTTGCCACGGGATGTTTCCACCCCTGCTTTCAAGGCCAGATGCATTTATTTTTTTCTTTCACTGACTGCTCAAGGTGCCTTCTCCCGACTGTGGTGGGGCTGGGGTCTTTGTCCCTGGCTGGGAGGAGAGGCGCACCAGGCAGGTACCCCTGAGGCCCAGCAGGACCCCCTCCTCTTTCTTCCTCAGTAACAGAACCATGGGAGTGGTGGAGTGGAGCCACAGAAAGCATATCCCAGACGCCCTTGTAGCCAGGGACAAACACGTGACCGAGATCTGGCCAACAGGGATAAAGAAATTCCTGGGTAGGATCTGTGGAAAAACACCTTAAAAAGTGAAAATAGCTTAGTCACCAGGTACTTCCTGTTCCTTCTTCCTGCTGAGAACAATGATGTGATGGCGGTGATGGAGGAAGCCATATTGTAAATCTGAGACAACCTCAAGGATGGAAGACAAAACCCAAGAACGGCATAGCCGAACGATTCGAGGATCTTCTACATAAGAGCTGCACTGCTTCTTCTGGACTTAAAAAACATTTTTTTTTATGTTAGAGGAAAACAAATTCCCGCTTGGTTAATCCTGTCTCTATTATATGTAGCCAGCTACACCTCCTAACTGAGAGAGAGAGATGAACACACCAAGAGGCCCATCGCTGGAGGCCGAGGTGGGACCCACCACCTATTTGAAGGGAAAAGGCAGAGCAATAACAGAGTATCGATCCCAGCTGCACCATGAGCAATGCTAACTTGGAGACCGCAATTAAAATAATGGAGAGCAAGCCGTCCCAAACCAAATTACCGGTCTCACGGATGGGAGAGGTGCTTCGTTGTGACCCCAGAGGACAGATCTGACAGTTGCAAAATGAGCGAAGGCTTCAGACGAGTGTGTTAGAGAAATCATTCTTCAAGAAATGTAGCCTCTGGGCGAAACGGAGTGGAATGAGAACGGCGGCACCGCGAGACGCGGTTCGAGGAGCTGTCTGTGATTTCAGGAATGCAAAGCTTCAGGGAGCGCGCGTGAATCACCCGAGCATTATTCTCATTATTACTAATGGTTCTTAATAAACTAAGAGGCATGGGGGGGGGGGCCTCCAGGTGGCTGAACGCTCAGAAATTGCTCACTGCAGTTACACTAATAACTAAATATAATTTGACACTCAATGACAATTCCAGGTCTGCAGCTTCCCCCAGTCTCCCGTTACAGAGGGGAGCCAAGCCAGGGCCTCAGTCAACAGAATAATCCAATTAAGGGCTCCTCCATTTGGGACTGAGTTAGAACTGAGAGTTTAACAGGAGAGTTGCAAAGGGCAAAAACAAGTCAGTATTTACTGATTCACAAAATCCAGACTTTTACTGTAAGAAGGTTATTTTTTGTTAAAGTCAGTGTTCAGCAGTCTGAATGGCTTTGGACATTCACGTTGTGATTTTAATTACTATAAATCTTTTCTAGATGTGAAACAGAATTCCTCATAAAGACTTACTTCTACTTTTTTTTTTTGGACAGGCAGAGTTAGACTGTGAGAGAGAGAGAAAGGTCTTTCTTCCATTGGTTCACCCCCCCAAATGGCTGCTACAGTCGGTGTGCTGTGCTGATCCAAAGCCAGGAGCCAGGTGCTTATCCTGGTCTCCCATGGGGTACAGGGCCCAAGCACTTGGGCCATCCTCCTCTGCCTTCCCAGGCCACAGCAGAGAGCTGGACTGGAAGAGGAGCAACTGGGACAGAACTGGTGCCCCAGCCGGGACTAGAACCTGGGGTGCTGGAGCCGCAGGAGGAGGATTAGCCTAGTGAGCCACGGCGCTGGCCTCTACTTTATTTTAATATCAAATATAGGCACCTTATTAATATTCAGGGTGCTTCATAAACTTTTTTAACATGTATTTATCATTTGAAAGGCAGAGTGATAAAGATGTAGAAAAACACACACAGAAATGGGGGGGGGCGGGGAGAGAGGGAGAGATTTTCCATGCACCGGTTCATCCCTCAAATGCCCACAACAGGCAGGCTAAGCTAGGCTGAATCCAGGATCCAGGAACTCTGGGTCTCCCATGGGAGTGGGAGGAACTCCCTAAGCCCTTTAGCCATAGCCATCGCCATCATCTGCTGCCTTCCTGGTGCGTTAAAATGAAGCTAGGTTGGGAGTAGAGTAGCTGGGACTCGAACTGGCACTTCAACATGGAATGAGGGCATCCTAAGTGGCAGCTTAACTCACTATGCCACCGTGCCCACCCCCAGCAATCATTGTTTTAACCACAGTCAGTAGTGTCCCTTATCCCAGGGGGATGTGTTCTGGGTCCCCCAACGGATGTCTACAACCTCAGTACTGAACCCTGTAATCTACATTTTATCATATAAAAACATTTCTATGATAAAGTGTAACTTATAAAGTAGACGTGGTAAGATACTAACAATAACTAACAATAAAATAGAACAATTATAATGATATAATGTAATAAACTGTGGTATCAGGATGCTCGTGCTTTGGGGCCATTATTAGGTAAAATAAGGGGCACTGAACACAAGCACTGTGCTACCTGGCAGTTGATCTGACGACTGAGATGGCTACTAAGGGACCTACCTAGGACAACGGGGAGTTTCATGTCCCAGGTGGGACGGAACAGGACAGAGGATGACTTTATCACCCTATCTAAAATCTGTAAATTGCTTATTTCTGGAATTTTCCAACATTTTTGAATCCTGGGTAACTGAACTGCAGAAGGGGAAGCCACAGTACTTAGGGGTTACTGGATGAATCTAGGAACCACCTACAAGGCAGGAAGCACCGATAAGGGGAGATGGACAGCGGGAACTGTCTGCAGCCCTTTGAGCTGCATTGAAGTGGAGAAATGACAGCTAAATTCTCTGTGTCAGTATTGCTATGGACACACTTCGCAGGGTGTTGGCAGGGATGGATGTTTCCACCATTTGGGGTAGGGAATGCTATTTGCAGAAGTAAAAGGGCAACACTGACCCACAGGTGAGCTGGAGCACTGGGCAGCTCCAGGGCCTGAGCTTCCTGTCAGCCTGCGGGCAGCAGGTGTTTGCAAAGCTCAATGAATGAGTCATCCCAGGTTCTTCAGAGCAGGTGTTCCTAGAAGCACCTGGAAACAGCTGAGGAAGCCTGGCCACAGCCTTCCAGCAGGATTTCCCTGGGGGGAAGCAGTGGTCCCTCTAGCCCCGAAATCAAGGGACAAATCAAGGGACAATCATTCTCAGAAAATCTTCCACTGCCGGAGTGAGAGCATCCTGTCACGTCCTTTGGCAAGGATACCTTTGGCGATTCTTACTCACTATGAAAGGGTTTCGACATGGGTGGCCTCCGTGGGACACAGCCCTGGGTGGGGGTGGGGATCTGTTAAGACAATGCGACAGGACATTTAACAGGTACTTACTGCTGGTGGAGGACAGGTGGCTGTAGTCAGACCTGAAACACAAGACCTCAGTGTTAGTAGCATGGTCACCATCCTTCTTCATCTAAGTGATTTACTCAAGCTAGACTTTGGAATAGTCAATGGGAAGTAGCATGTAACTGGTAAAAGAATATCACAAATTAAAAGCTGAGGCTCATTTTGTGCAAAGTCAAGTCATGTCCGAATGTGCAGGCAGAACTTTGAAGGCATTTTAGAAATCAGGGGTCCTTCACGTGAGCTCTACGAACCCTCTGACACGAGTTGGGAGGTCCTCGGCCATCTGAGTTTGGTGGCAAATTTCTGTATGGTTGTTTAAGCACCTCGGCAGATCCATGGCTCCTCCGAAGACTAAGCCTCTGCAAACGAGCACCCTCCAGACACTGGCACCGCACCACAGGGAGATGTTTCTTTGCTGACATAAGCAGGGCATGCCTGAGAGAGAGAACCCTGGCCGACGAAGGCCTCCGAGTTCAAGGCACGGCTGAGCAGCAGGAAACAGGGGCACAAGGATAGTGCTGGACACTGGAGGAACAGGATGTGGGCTGTGATGGGGAAAGGGAAGAGGTGGGGTGAAGGCCGGGGAGAAAGGACCCACTCGGTTTCCAGGCTGAAACCCAGCTGCCGGTGCCCAGCCGCTGTGAGAACTGGAATCCGTCCACGGATCTGCCCTGCCTGTGTGGCTTAGGAGAGCCTCTCTGGCAATGAATTCCACATGGAGCCGTTTATTTTCTCCCCCCAGTGTCCCAAAGTCATTCCCAGTAGGAAATTAATCACTTAGGCCCACAGGGATCTAACTATATCTAATTCTGACTTGGTAGTTAGGGGACGCAGTTATGCAAATAAACTGCTTAATTATGTTTAATTTTACAGATACAAACTTCTTAGTCTCACGCTGCCTTTCTTGAATCATCCAATTTTCACTCCATTGAGCTTCTTACCGCATTAAAAAAAGCACATGTGAGAAACCTCTTTTCAAAAAAACCAGAAGAAGCTTGCCTTTTGTTAGTTAAAATAACCTGCATTCCCCAGACAAGACGGTACCCGGATTTATTAGGAGAGGAGCAAAATGGAAGAAAGACAGCACGTGGTTTTAGCTTTTTCATATTTTAGTATGAAACACTTTAGTAGTCATAGAATCCTTGAATTGTAAAACTGGAAAGAATAACAGCTACTACTAACATTTGCACATTCCTTGATTGCAAGCTCATTTACATATATATGTATATATATAAAATGGGATTTTTTTGTTTTGTTCATTAGGAAACTGAAGTGATACTAGTTGTAAGAGGATCAGGAGGTGAGGAGGGATAATGAGGGTGGCAAGGAAGACGCTGGCAGGGAGGTGGCTTGGCTGGGGTGTGGTGACATGGAGAAGACAGCAATCCAGCACTGGTGCACTAAATTCCTTGTAGAACCAGGCAAGACATAAACAGACACTGGGACAGTACTTGGATATGTAACTATATATAAATGCAGGGAATGCTCCCCCATCATTCCCTGTGGTAGATGCAATAGCAAAACAATGCCATGACAATATGATCATTTGAAGATGGCCAGGTTTTACAGACATGTCATGACTATTCAAAGACAACATACACTAAAAATCTGCAACATTACTATTTCTCTTATTATTAAAAATGTGCCAGTGTTTTCAGCGAGGGCTTTCCAAATATGCCTGAAGCAGATGGGGTTCACATATGCGTACATTTTAAAGATCTGCATGCAGATGGATTTGTATGCAGGATGAAATTTACATGGGAAACATCGCTCCAGAGTCTTAAAGTGCAACAGGAATATTTTAGGACAGGCGCTAGTGTAACTGACACCCCTCCATGATTCAGTCCCTGTCTCTCCAGACTAAAGGCCCTGCCTCGGCAGGCCTGCCAACTGGTAGGTCTTCAGCAGTCACACTCGTCCTGCTCCAATTCCTTCTCCACACAGCAGCCAGTCTTTGCAAAGCACAAATCTGATCATGTCTCTCTCTCTCTCTCTCTCTCTCTCTCTCTCTCTCTGGATGAAATTCAAGCTCACTAGCTGAAAACACAAACCCCTCTCTCCAGGACAGATGGTCTCTGGCCAGCTCCACAGCCCAACTTCCAACCCTGTTCGCCACCAAAACAGAAATCAAACGGCCAGAAGGGTCACCTAAAATCTCACATGCCTCTCCACCTCTGATCAGAAGTTTCTGTACTTCGTTTGGAGCTGATCTTTCCACTGCACGCCATTGTACCATGCTGCCACCTAGATTCTGCAATTATCATTTTAGATGAAGTAATGCACTGTAATGTATTCAACCATTTCCCTCGGTTTGGCTATATGATTGGTCTTGATTGCTCACTTTTACAAAGCACATGGCAAGGAGATATTACGAATATAGCTTTCCGTTTTTCTCTTGTCCTTAGAAAAAATTATCATCACTAAGAATATAGACTGAGTCAAGGTATGAACACTTTTCTAGCTCTTTTTTTTTTTTTTAGAAAAAGATTTATTTATTTATTTGAAAGTCAGAGTTACACACAGAGAGAAGAGGCACAGAGAAAGAAAGAGAGAGAGAGGTCTTCCATCTGCTGGTTCACTCTCCAATTGGCTGCAACAGCCAGAGCTGCGCTGATCTGAAGCCAGGAGCCAGAAGCTTCTTCCAGGTCTCCCACGTAGGTGCAGGGGCCCAAGCACTTGGGCCATGCTCCACTGCTTTCCCAGGCCATAGCAGAGAGCTGGATCAGAAATAGAGCAGCCAGGACTCCAACCGGCGCCCATATGGGATGCTGGCACTGCAGGCAGCGGCTTTACCTGCTACGCCACAGCACAGCACTGGCCCTACTTTTCTAGCTCTTAACATAGATTCCAAATAACCCTAAAGGATCATTTACTGGGAATTGTGCAAAAGACAAACTGTTAAGCTTGAAACAATTTTGTGCACAAATAGGTTCAAGCAATTTCAGAAAACAACCGGATAAAATCAGGTACTTGATCAGGATTCTCTGGAGAAGTCTACACGTGCCAGCTTAGAGTGGGAAGAACAGCAGTTGGTACCTACCTAGAGCTTTGTTTATTGATCTCACACGATAAGAATTTACCTGGCTGGCTGCATAAGACACCAACCCTGCCAGAATGATGCACTGAAGGTGAACTCAGGAATTTTAGGATGAAAAAGTTTTGGAGACATGATATAGATGAGCAGAAGAATGCAAGTATATGTTTTAACACACCTGATGCACACAAGGGAGCCTCAAAAAGTTCATGACTAAAAGGAATTAAAAGAGAAGTTTGGGGGCCGGCGCTGTGGCGCAGAGGGTTAATGTCCTGGCCTGAAGCACCAGCATCCCATATGGGCACCAGTTCTAGTCCCAGCTGCTCCTCTTCTGATCCAGCTCTCTGCTATAGCCTGGAAAAGCAGTAGAAGATGGCCCAAGTCCTTGGGCCCCTGCACCCACGTGGGAGACCGGGAAGAAGCTGCTGGCTCCTGGCTTTGGATCCAGATCGGCGCAGCTCCAGCCATTGCGGCCAACTGGGGAGTGAACCAGCGGATGGAAGACCTCTCTCTCTTTCTCTCTCTCTGTCTCTCCTCTCTCTGTAACTCTGACTTTCAAATAAATAAATCTCTTATAAAAAAAGAGAGAAGTTCAACTTTGAGAAGCAATGACTTTGAACAGCCCTTTTCTTAATTGTTGAGGAAAAGGCTCCCCCCCCCCCAGTTCTATTTGTTGAACTCTTAACATAGAGTTTATCATATGTGTATAAATTTAATTTAAAATAGATCTTAGTTAAAAAATAAGAATGGGACTAGGAGAGGGAGGAAGAAGACAGTGGGAGTGTGGGTGGGAGGGCCAGTATGGTGAGAAGAGTCACCATGCTCCTAAAGTTATAATTATGAAATGTATGAAGTTTGTATTCCTTAAATAAAAGGTTTTTCAGAAAAAAAAGTTTATTTTGGTGCAAAACATTTTTGAAGGCCAGGCAGTTTTTTCATGATATACATTTTTCATAATATACGTTTTTCTATAAAGTTTCTGACACTCAGGTATTTTTACACCAAAATAAATATTTTAACTCCATTTTCCCACAAACATTTAGAAGTGCTTTCATATATAAAATGAATACTTTCCTGAATTATCTTTCCCAATAAAATCATGGCCTAAGAATTGATCTTGGCATTTCTGTCAGAATGGTTTTGATGTTTCTGTAAAATGCCAGCCCAAGGCCTCAAGGGCCTCATCTGTTAACTGCATTGAACTGAATGCCTGGTAATGCAGGGGTAACCAGCTCCACCTTGAACACAAAGATAATACAGTACTAATCGATCATCTTGTCTTCTACCCAGGATTCCCTCTTTGACCTTAAGAAAAAAAAGTTCTATTTTAAGTTAGTCCATTATTCTTTCCCATTCGCTTGTTTAAATCTAGGCCAATGAATTGTTTGGGATCTCGTAGGCCGTGGTGAAATACCAGCTGAATATCACACAAAGACAGAGGACATGGTACGACCCTGGCCAAGGCAGAAGCTCAGCGACAGCTGATGCAGAAGTGCAAGTCCATTAATGCCAGACCAAACTATTGAATTGAAACAACCCGTCAGGATTGCTCACACTGGAAAGAGTGGCTTAGAGGCCAAATCTGGGCCACCTCACTAGTGCAGCCGTCATTATAAAGCACTGGCTTGTCTTTGGGGTCACGAGGAGCTGCCTGCCCCTCTGTTAAAGGATTCTGTCTCTGCAGCTAATTTATCACCCTCAGCAGCCCACTTGCCAGTTTTTTTCTAACAGAAAGTCCAAAGCTGCACAATCTTGCTTTCAAGTAGATTTAGGAGGTGGGAGTTTCAAGATGACCCTCCATCGACACAGAGCACGTGCTAGCTTTTAGTTGTGGCTTGTAGTAGGTGGTCCGACAGCAAAGGCAGCGTTTCAAGCCAAAGAAACTGAGTAGAAAAGCAGAATGACATACACCGCACATGGCTCCATGGCGGGGGATGGGGACACAATGTCACCAGCTGGGAAGCATGCTGGAGACTGGGACTTCCTTTCAGGCCACTCACAAGGCACGCACCCCCAGGCTCCATCTCACCATCCATAACATAATAATACTTACAGTACTGAGGCATGCCCTACAGTCGGTGGGATGCTCCAAATGAACATATGGCATTTAAAGGCATCAGAGCGGAGCCAGGGCTGTGGCATAGAGGGTGGAGCCACCACCTGCAGTGCCGGAGTCCCATGTGGGCACTGGTTCAGGATCCCGGCTACTCCACTTCCGATCCAGCTCTCCGCTATGGCCTGCGAAAGCAGTAGAAGATGGCCCAAGTCCTTGGGCCCCTGCACCCGTATGGGAGGCCTGGAAGAAGCTCCGGGCTCCTGGCTTCAGACTGGCGCAGCTCCAGCAGTTATGGCCAATTGGGGAGTGAACCAATGGATGGAAGACCTCTCTCTCTCTCTCTCTCTGCCTCTCCTTCTCTCTGTGTAACTCTGACTTTCAAATAAATAAATAACATCTTAAAAAAAAAGATTGAGTGCTAAATGCCACACGTTGTGGTCAATTCTTTAAAAAAATAAAATGAGGCCAGCGCCGCGGCTCACTAGGCTAATCCTCCGCCTAGCGGCGCCGGCACACCGGGTTCTAGTCCCGGTCGGGGCGCCGGATTCTGTCCCGGTTGCCCCTCTTCCAGGCCAGCCCTCTGCTGTGGCCAGGGAGTGCAGTGGAGGATGGCCCAGGTGCTTGGGCCCTGCACCCCATGGGAGACCAGGAAAAGCACCTGGCTCCTGGCTCCTGCCATCGGATCAGCGCAGTGCGCCGGCCGCAGCGCGCCGGCCGCGGCGGCCATTGGAGGGTGAACCAACGGCAAAAGGAAGACCTTTCTCTCTGTCTCTCTCTCTCACTGTCCACTCTGCCTGTCAAAATAAATAAATAAATAAATAAATAAATAAAATGAAGGCATCGGAGCATGTAACATGAGGAATATAAAGGACCTACGGTCTTGAGTTCACCATCTTTATTGTATAATGAAACCTTAAGTTTATCACTTGGAGCATTTTTTGCAGCAATAACAATGGTGCCGTGAGAAATGGCAATGGGCCGAGGGTTAACTTATGCCACGTACAGTTCTAGAGACTATGGACTCCTCACCACAAGCCTGTGAGGTGGGTGCCAATGTCTTCAGCTGAGGGCACTGAGAGCTTAAGGAACCAGCTCAAAATTCCACGATTCCCCAGTGGAGGAGCCACAGTGTGGACGGTAGCAGGTTGGCCCTTGTAACCATAGCCTTCATGACCCAACACAGTCTGCTCACCGGTGGTGAGACCCCTAAAATTCCTCAGAACCACCTCTTTGGTCTGACAGATAAGGAGACCGGTCATCAGCTTCAGCAATGCCCTAAACTCCCTTGCTCCTGTGCTCTGTTCATCCTCCCCCCAACAATCGCTGCACCCCCAATCCTGGATTATTCCAACTCCCTGCTGGCTCTCTAGGCCTGACTCTGGGCAGCTGAGCACTACCGCAGGAAAACAGTCAGGTGGGCTCCTAATCACTAATCTCACTGGCTCTCACTCAGTGCCCCTAAACAATGATTTCAGATCTCTATTCTCCTGGGCTGGGGATGGGAAAGTGCTGCATTGACCCCCAGTGGAAACCCCAGCTTCCCTTCCCTCTCCCTGCTGTGGGAAGGGAGCTGCCTGTCCTCCTATCCAAAGCTGATCCATCCACAGGCAACCTCAAGTCCACCTGCTCTCACCTTTCCCAAAGGCTGACAGTACAGGTGACCATCTTTCCCCCTCTGTCTCTATCCTTTCCCTTTTAACAGACTCCTTCCTAGCAGCACTGCCTGCCCATCAATCCCAACGTTTCGGAAATCCTTCCCTCACCCCCCAGTCCTCACCATGCCCCTTCCAAAAGCTCTCTCCTCTTCCTCATCTTCATCTCTCTTCTTAGAGCCACTCGGATCTGGCTTCTGCCTCCACCACCCCACTGTCAGGTGCCACTCTGCCTTCACCTCATTCCCACCATTTAAAAAAAGACACTTCGCACTCCTCAATTAGTTTCTCAGCGGCACAGCTGATTGCGCCTTCCTTTCTCAAAGACTCAAAGGCTTCAGCGATATCACCTGCGGCCTTGACTGTGTGCCTACTCATTCCCAGGCTCCTTCACCCGCTCGTGTTCCTTACCTGACATTTCAGTGCTGCAGCTCCTTGAGGCTGCACAGAGTTGTTGAAGGGTTCAACGAGTCTCTGAACAGTACCTGGCACACAGCAAACGCAAAGTGTTTGCTGTTACTTTGCATTGATTTAACCTCTCCCAGGGCCTCAGTGGTCATTTTTAGGTAGACAGTTCCCAAACACAAGGTCATCATGCAGATCTCTGATCTCCAGCTGGTGCCATACCCAACTGCTGACTCATCATTTTTTGCTTTGATGTCTCTCAAGACCTCAACCACATATGGAAAATAAAGTGCCTTACCCCCTGCCTCAACCTGGTTTGGAAAAGATCACAGGCTCCTTTGAGACTATGCTTTAAAAAAAAAGTCAGTTCTCATTTAAAAAAAAAAACTCACAAAGCACATCATTTTGCACACAACTTGAAACAATTCATGGATTCCCAAATTAAAGGGCACTGCCTTAACAGAGGCATCACTTGAGCTGAGTCTTGAAAGAAGAGCACAGTTAGAGTTACACCTGTTGGACACAGGTGTGCCAGGTGGAAAGGGCATACCTGGATGGCCGGACAAAGGCAAGGAAACAGAAAAAAGAGTTGGGTGTGGCTAGGCACAAAGTGCAAAGAAGAACTGGGTGAGAAGCAAGGCCCAAGAGAGAAGGAGGGACTCCACAATGTTGGGGTTTAGGCCACGCTAGTGTCTGTGCACTTTATAGATGATGGAAGCATAAGTTTCTGAAGGAGAGATCAGATTCGCCTCATATAGCACTGAGTGTTTTCTTTGTGCTTTCTATGCAATCTCAATAGGTAGCAAACCATACAAAAGCTGGATGATGGGGGGCAGAGGCAACAAGCTCCAGAAAGTAGGGAAACCCTGAATGACTTTTTTTTTTTTTGCCAGTTAAACAAAAATTCAAGGGATGTAGGACTACAAGGCAAATATAAGACTAAGAAGCATACACCAAATCTATTTTATTTAAACGCATACCATTCCACCTTTAGCTTAAAGATGCCAGCAATGCAATCAGAAATCCTTAGACAATTCAGTCCACTTATGAATACACAGCCTAGTGACAGAAGCACAGAACCGACATCCTGGAGTCAGCATGCCCGGGGAGCCCCTCCAGGAGCCTTGGCAGCTGTTGAGCTGGTGCCTGGAACCCGGGGGTGATGTCACCCCCTGGGTCAGGGCTCCCTTTCCTTTCTCCAAAACAGAGCCCTTAGAAAAAATATCTGTCTTAGATAAACTCTGCAAACTGAATATGAATGGCCTAGTGGACAGTTTACTTTACCCGGCCATAAAAGAGCTGGTTAATTTTGCTTTGTTTCTTCTCTTCATGGTCCAGTTAACTACGGGCAGGAAAAAATTGCCAAGGAGCTTCAATTAAAATTGATAAATACCACATACAAAGTGTGGAGAAATGCAAAGGGAGTTCAGTATTTGGAATCAGGTTACCCCCCTGGGTTACAATTGGCTTCTACAGTGGACTATGAATGATCCCAAATTTGGATAACAGGGCAAAGCCCATTGCTAGGACAATGTAAAATCCCATCTGAGCTGGGAGTGCTGGTGGGGGCTGGGCTTGAGAGGCAGGAGGCCCCAGGTGCGGAGCCTAAATGGGGGTTGGGCCCGACCCCTCTGAGTCCGGACTCCCTTCCTGCCCTCACAGAGTGGCCAAGCCCCGAAATCTCCCAGGCTTTCCAGGAACGAGGCTTTCTGTAGTCCGGGCAGCTCTCGCCCTCCCCCAGGGTCTCTCCAGAAAGGAAAAGCCACCCTTTCCTCCCGGGTCAGTTCCGCCTCCTGGCTGCGGTGCTGACTCTGCACAGGAAAGCCCTCCAGAGATAGCGGCCGGGTGGAAGCCATGACAAGCACTTTCATCTCCTTAAAGATATTTGGTCTTTATCCCACGCAGGAAAACAGTGTTACTGGGAAAGGACTAATTAGTTCCCCAAAGCCTGAACTAATTGTTTGAGTCCAAGAAAGCGAACAGAACACTTCCTTCAATAAGCAGGGCTACATCGCGGCACCGGCGCCCTCCCGCCCGGACAGGTGCGCTGGGAGCTGAGTTCCATGGAGGGCTGGAGGCGGCCTGGGCAGCGCTGGATAAAGTCCCTCAATAAAAAACACGAAATGGGAAATGCCATCTTCCTGCTGGACTTCTGCAAGACTTTTGGGTGCCGGGCGTCCCACCCTGCTCTTCCTGCCTTCCCAACCCCAGGGCTAGACTCCTAGAGGACGGACCCGCGCAAGGCTGAAACAAGTGCAAGAGCATCGCTTCTCTCCACCGGTGCTAAGGGGCAGTGCTTCGGCCTGGCACTCACGTGACAACGGCCCGGCAAGAGGGGCTGCGGTGGGACTACACTGATCCTCGAGTCCTTCCACTTCCCTCCCCCGGGCTGGGGGCCCGCGCCAGGACCAGACACGTGGTTCTGGCCCCCACGGGACGGCTCGGGAGGGGTCCTGACAAGAGGGGAAGACCCGTGCGCGTCTGGTCCCGCCGCAGCAGCTCCGGCTCCACAGCCGGGATCAGGAGGGTTCCCTGCCCGTAGGAGCCGCGGAGCAACTCGGAGCGCGCCCCCGCCCACCGCCCGGCCCCGCGCGGCTCACCCTCCGGTCTCGGCGCCCGAGTCCGCGCAGTCATCCTCCTCGCCGCCGCCGCCGCCGCCCGCCTTCGGGTCCATGGCGCGCGGCCCGGCCGCGCTCCGCTCGCGGGTACCGGGCGTGACCCGGGGCGCGCTCTCTCCGGGCCTCCCAGGCCAGAGCGACCCCAGTCCGCCCGGCTCCCTCAGAGCTTCTCGCAGCCCGGCTCCGGGAAACAACTCGGACGCCGGCTGCCGTCACCCTCGCCGCGCCCTCTCCCGGCCGCGCCCGGCTGGGCACCAGCGGCCACGGCCGCCCCGCCCCTCGGCTCCCGGCAGTGCGCGCGGGTGTGCACCGGCTGTGTGCGCGGGCGCGCGGGGCGTGTGCACCGGGTACAACTACACGAGGATGTGCGCGCGTGCACGGGTATGTGTGCACGAGGGTATGTGCGTGTGCGCGCGCGCGTGTATGAGCCGTCGTGTTTCGCAGGCTTGTGTGCAGTGCGTGCGTGAGTGGGCGACATGTGTGCGGTCGCCTGCCTCTCTCTCTGTGGAGTGCTAAGAGTGCGGTGTGTCTTTACATTTGCAACACCTCTGCACGGACAGAGAGAAGGGTCGGTGCGAGTCTGTGATCGCGTATGGGACGTGGCTGTGTAAGCGCACACAGGGGATCTGCGCTCTTCCTGGGCCCAGAGTCCGGAAACCCGGAGTCCCGGGGATTGCCTTGAGGTCCCCAAGCCCTGACGCTTCCAGTAGCCCGGAGAAATACCCGACAGCACCCGGGAGGCGGGAATGTTTCCCAGTTGGGACCAGTTCCAACACCTGGGTGTTTTCTGAAAGCTTCTTCAGAACAACCAACGCTGAATTCATTGTCGCCTTTCTCAGCACAGGTCTGACTGCCTCCCGCCCCCCGGCTTGCCAGTTTACAATGCTGTCATGCACTCTGGCTGTTTTACACGATTTCTTCACAAATAGTTTAAAGCGCAGGGGATGCACCTGCCTTCAGGGCATGTTGCAGCAAGAGGGATGATGGGTGCTTGCCTAGGACCCCCTCAGCTGCGCAGAGTGAGCTCCTGATCGCTGCAGAGGCCTCCCTCCCCTCTTCCTTCTTAGTAAGGTGGGTGGAGGCAAAGGTGGCCTGAGCAGCTTGGATCTCATTCTGGCGGCCCTGCTGAAGCCATTGGGAGGCAGTCGCCTCTGCCTTATTCTCTTCTAAGGCAAATTCACCTGTTTGGGTCTTAATTTCCGCATCTGTTGTGAGGTCAGTGAGTCACATATGTAAAACACTTAGCCAGGGTCCTTGTACACCCCGAGCACGGATCACAGGCAGCTGTCATGACATTGCAAGCAGTAGCTAACCGCATTCTCAATCTCAATGTGCAAAGCAGTGCCACCCTGGGTGACAAGTGACACCGTGAAGAGGAATACGGTGTCTTTGTCTTTCTCTACCTTGTCTGCTCTTCCTTCCTACTTATCCAAGTCTTTCTGATTCTTATGTTAAATAAATGACACAAAAAGAGCACTCCAAGGACAAGAGAAGAATAGAGAGGCAGCCTCAGAGTCAAGAAGAAATGCAGGTAAATATGCCAACCCAAGTCTCAATTGGGCTCCCTACTGAGTGTAACATTGCTTGCACTCAACAGAAGTGGATGTGTGACACCCAACTGGTGCTCACTGGCTGAAGGAAAGGAGTGGTTCCTAAAGGACACCCCCTCCCCTACTCCACGCACTGATTTCTAAAAGAAAACTCCTAAACAGGGCATGGAACATTGTGAGTGATGCATTGCATACTGTCATTAACTGCCATTCAAGGTTTGTCAGCTCATTCACCATCAAACAAGAGGTGAACTCTGCATATGCAAATGAGATTCCTGCCCTCATGGAGCCAGAGGGGTGACTAATGAAACAATAGATTATGTATGCATAGTATTATTTATTACACTGTTATTTATATTATTATTTTCATTATTTATTATTAGCTTATATATAGTATTATATATCCCTTTATGTATATGTAGTATTTTTTAAAGTTCTTTTTAAAAAAGATTTATTTATTTATTTGAAAGGCAGAGTTCTAGAGAGTCAGAGTCAGAGAGAGAGAAGGGAGTCTTCTATCCTCTGGTTTACTCCCCAAATGGCCTCAATGGCTGGATTGGAACTGGAGTAGCCGGGACTCAAACCAGTGCCCATGTGGGAGTTCTGGCACTGCAGGCAGTGGCTTTACTCGCTACACCACAGCTCAGACCCGGCATATATACTATTAGTGTCTCCAGGAGATAACTGACTAGGAAGGAAAAGAATTGTGTGCCCTGAGCAAGAAGAAACATTGTTGTGACCCCACCAGCAAAGGCAGCACAGCAACTGCACCTGCCCCCAGAATGCCAGCTCCAGGCAGGGACCCACGCGTTAGAGTCACAGCTGTATTCCCAACACCTGGGACTGTTCCCAGAGCAATCAATATGCGTTAGACTAAATGAAATTAACACAGCCGCCGCTAGGGGGTGGGCGAGGGAAGAGGGCGTGCCAGACAGAGGCCAGCATGTGTGAGGCACTGAGGCACTGTCAGGCTTGGAGCATTTGGTCAGAAGGGCGTGAAGGAAAGTTGGGTGACTGAGCTACACAAAACGACAAAGGGGACAATGATGCTATTCAACATCATAGTGACAGCTCCAGGAAGTCACCCAGAAGCATTAGAGCATATTTGGAAAGTGGAGGCACAAATGCTGTGTCAATGAATCCAGAATAAAGAGAGTGATAGAAATGGCCAAATGGATAAATACAATGAATGTTCTACCATCTTGTTATCCCTACAGGCACAGGGGAACCTGGCTATGTCTGTTCTGTGTGGGGACAATTCAGACATGCACCTCATTGGATGCCCTGTGAAATAGTTTTGTTTTTTTTTTGTGTCACAGAGGAGGAATCAAAATCTCCAACTGGTGGATTAGGGGAGCCAGGTGGTCCATCCAATGGGATTGCAACCTCCCTGTTGAGCTACTGGGTCATCCAGTTCTAGCCTCAGGAAATTGGCAGAGAAAAAGGCCGGGGAAGCAAGGGTAAAGTCCTCATGAGTCTATAGAAGGATCTTGGAAAATGAAGTGCAATTTAGAGGCTTTCAGCTTTTCTCAGATACACAGAGGCAGGCCCGATCAGACCAAAACCTGGGAGCACATCTCAAAATGCAGCACTGCCTCAGGTGTCCCTCATCCACAAGGAGCACACGTGTTCTCCTTCATTGTTGGTGTGGATGCCCATGGCAACCCGGTGAGCATGTCTGCTAGGAAGATGCAAGTATACTGGGGCAGTACCATTGCATTCCAGTTATGTGTGGGCTCCTCATTCAGATCCCAGGTCTTATAGCCTCAATTTACTTATAAATAAATAAGTCAGTAAATAAATAAAGCAAGAGACAGGGAACCAGCACAAGTACCTTCCAGTCATCACCACAGGGTATCTAACCCTTGGCCTTGACCACAGCTCCCACACTCTGTTTTCCAGCTATTTAACACGAATCACTTTGGTTATGGGGTACAGCATCCTCTGTCCTCTCTCCTGTAAGGTGGGGACAGAGGAAGGCCACTGGCCTGTTGGGGTACCCTGCTGCTGCTCTAGAGATGTTCCCATCAGAGCTTGAAGACAGCATTTGAGGAGTGCTGAGATATAGAGGGGAGTGCCACAAGGCCATCTGCCAGACCCCCAACCCCCTGCGCTCAATGCTTGCACACTCACCAGAGGGATAGTGCAGCCCATCCATGGGCACTGCGGTTCTTACTGCATGTCAGGCATTGAGGGAGGGATTCCATACACGAGCTCTTTAAATTCTCACTAAAGCCTTGTGAGGCTCCCGATTGTGTTCTCTCTCTCTCCCTCTCTCTCTCTTTTTTTTTTTTTTTAACAGACAGAGTTAGACAGTGAGAGAGAGAGACAGAGAGAAAGGTCTTCCTTCCATTGGTTCACTCCCCAAATGGCTGCTGTGGCCAGTGCGCTGTGCCGATCCAAAGCCAGGAGCCAGGTGCTTCCTCCTGGTCTCCCATGGGGGTGCAGGGCCCAAGGACCTGGGCCATCCTCCACTGCCTTCCCAGGCCACAGCAGAGAGCTGGACTGGAAGAGGAGCAACCAGGACAGAATCCGGCGCCCCAACTGGGACTAGAACCTGGGGTGCCAGCACCGCAGGTGGAGGATTAGCCAAGTGAGCCGCGCTGGCCCCGATTGTGTTCTGGAAATGAGGCAGTTGTGAATCTCACAGGGGACTCGAAGCCCTTTGGAAACCATGAAGCATAGGAATACGAGAAATCATTGATTTTTTTTTGATAACTTTTTCTCAGAAAGGTCTGAGCCTCACTCTCAGGTTCTATCTTACCTGTGATGCACCTTTCCATCTCTACTGATATGATTGCATGTGTTAGTGTATCAGAAAACAAAGCCATTCTTTCACTCATTCATTCATTTACTTACTGAACACTCAGTGTGTGCCAGGCAGTGGCTGGTGCCAAGGATACATCAGGAATAGGCCAGTTCCTGGCCTAATGGAGTCTTTGAGGTCAGGCCAGGGCAGTTACCATGGTGCATGGTCATGGACAAGTTTTGCCATCCCACCAATCCTAGCCTTTCTTTGCTGGCTCCTGAGAGCCCTACCTGGCACCTGGCAGGTTCACAGAGCTATTGGCCATTAGAGTAGGTCTGGAATATCAAAGCCCTTTACTGGAGGAAAAAGCTCAAAGCAATTTTTGTAAAAATATATTTATTTCTTTGGGGGAAGAGAGAGAGAGGGAGGCAAAGGGGTCTTCCATCTACTAGTTTCCTTCTCAAATGTCTGCAACAGCTAAGACTGGGTCAAGCTGAAATCAGGAGCCAGGAACTCCATCTGGGTCTCTCCCACATGGGTAGCAGTGACCCAAGTACTTGAGCCATTAACCCTTGCCTCCCAGGGTGCCATAACCCCAACAGTGAAACTGGAACCCGAAACCACAGTGCTCCAATATGGCATACAGGAGTCTTAGCTGGTATCCTAACCACTATGCTAAATGCCTTCCTCTCAGAATAATCTGATGGTAAATAAAAAGCATCAGCTTTGCTGATGAAAGTGATAAATTAGTCATCAAAAAGGCCAAAAATCATGGAGAGGAGTCTAAATTCTGAAAAACAGTAAACAAGCGGCCTTAAGATAAGAACTTTAAGGTAAGAGACTGAAAATAAATAAAAACAAAAATTTCCAGGATGTGGGATTTGCCAGGCCACTTCCATGGTACCAATGTGTACCAAATACCAAAAAGCCTGCTGGACCTAATGTAGTCCTTTAAGTGAAATGTGAGTTTAGATTGTCC